CAGTTGGCGGTGCCTGCCAGTAATGCCCATGGCCGCGTGGAGGGCTCTGCCGAGCTCTACGTGGAGGAGCCGCGGCCATCTGCTGCCTCCCAGATGTAAGTGTTGGGGGGTCTCCGGGATCTGCATCCCCCCTGCTTGCTCCCCCCTGGGATCTGGGGGACAATGGGCTTGTGCAAAGCCTGGGGTCGGGGCTGGGCGGGGGGCACTGTGCTCCTGCTGCGAGTGTGTGCGGGCTCTTGCAGCTCCAAGCTGGAGAAGATGCCGTCCATCCCGGAGGAGCCGGAGCAGGTGGAGACGGAAGCAGAGTGCTTCACCATGCCTGATTTCCTGAAGCCGCTGCACAACCTGGATGTGGTGGAATCGAAGGAGGCTGTGCTGGAGTGCCAGGTGGGCGGGCTGCCCTACCCCTCCATCACCTGGTAAAAAAAACACCCCCGGGTTCCACAACGGCCCCCGCATCGACAGCACCGACGACCGCAAGATGATGCAGTGTAGGGCTGCCTGCCACCCTCCCCGCCCCCTGGGGTTCCTCCACCTGGGGTAGAGGAAGGGGGACACTCCGGGAGGAGGCATCACCCCCCAGACCTTCGCGCCCTGTGAGGCAGGGAGGGGAGCTCTGCACCGCTTGGCTGGGGGGGTCTTACCCATGTCCCCCTGTTCCTCCCCAGATAAGGATGTCCATCGCCTGGTGTTCACGTCCGTCAGCCACGCGCATGCTGGTGTCTATAAAAGCGTCATCGCCAACAAAGTGGGGAAGGCCACATGCTACGCACACCTCTATGTCACCGGTAAGCAGCAGCGGGCACCACCGGGGATGTGTAGCCACATGCTGCCACTCTGTCAGGCTGTGCCCTGGGGCTGGGGGCTGGTGGCCCTGTAGCGAGGTCCTGGGGTGATAGGATCACAGGGCAGTTCAGGTTGGAGGGGGCCTCAGTAGGTCTCTAATCCAACCTAAAAGCGGGGTCAGCTGTGCAGACCTCACCTTGCAGGGTCAGGACCCATCTCTGGACCCCCAGGTCCCACATGGGACTTGCTGGCAGCACCAGCCCCGCAGGGGCTGCTAGGCTGAGCCCCCGCCGGGGAACCAGTGAGGGTTGCTGGCCCCATCCGTCCCCTCCAGCCCGCATCTCCTGGGGCGTAAGACAGATGCCCCGAGGAGCTGTGGCAGTGGCTATGCTCACACCCCTGCCTGCCTCCCCACGCAGACGTGGTGCCGACCCCCCCGGACGGGCCCCCCACCATGGCCTC